AAAAATCTCGTTGAGAAATATTTGATAAAGGATTTCCATTGACACCCTTTTCTTCAATATGTTCTTCATTAAGTAGTCTGCATGTTTTTAAGTAAGATGACTACTAGACATCATATTCAGAAGTTGTTTCTTGTAAAATTCTTTACCATTTTTCATTGATTTATTTTCTAAATACCATCCAAGCATCAAAAAATGAAGAAAAATATTTTGTAATAACTTATTTTTCATGAATCAAACACACCCTTAGTTTAGTTTAACCTAATTTGACGCCATTAGCATTGTAATGAAAAATAATATTATTTTAATGAAAATGTGTTTTTTTCTGTCAATATGTTAGAAAAAAGTGCATGAATACTTGCAAAATAAATAAAATAGAAAAATAGGAAAATAAAATAATATTTAACCAAACCTATTTTAATTTTCCGTTAACCCTAATTAACATTCAAATAAATAAAGAAGAAAAGAGAAATCAATTCGGACTAACCAATAAGTGTCAATTCAAACAAAATTTTATTTCCTAAACTTTATTTTAATTAGGTTTCTTGTTACAATTGTTATATAATATTAAATAAATAAATACATATTAATTCACACATCTATTTGAACGAAAATATCACTTAAATTATATTATTTTCACTTTTTATGGCATATATCTATGTTTTGCCCTTCAACTTTTTGGGTGTAAGACTTTGTGCTCTTTAATTTATAAGTGAGGGTTATTTACCTTGAATTTGTTCCCTTTGACCAAACTTTTCACGGTTTTGATTGTTACCTTCAATCTTCATCTTTTGCTAGATTGACATTTTAGTCCTTAAACTTAAGTTTGTTATGGAATTAATTTTTATTTTATCTTGCCAAGATTTTTAATTCTTCTAGAGATATTGCTCTTCTTACTTCAAAAATATATCTATCCTATAATAATTCATCAGTTCTAAAGGGAATAATCCCTTCTATTTCTATAATCTTTGAGATTATGTCTATTTGTTATTAAAAAAATTTGACTTCTTTTCTTAAATACATTCTTAACATCATTGTGTTTTAATTCTTTTATGGCTCTAATACCAATTCTTTTTTTTTTTAGAACCTAACTTAGACTATAAACTAATATGTTGCTGGTATGTTAAGCTCAATAAATTGTAGAATTAAATCTATTAGGCTGCTAATAGAGATAATCTTTTCTTAGTCTCCTTTAATCTTTTCTTAGTCTCCTTTCATCTTTTCTTAGTCTCCTTTAATCTTTTTAAATATTGATTTAAATCTGCTGTTGTTCGCTTTAATTTTTTAAGATTCTTGAAGAGATGATTGTCATCTAAATCTCCAATGTTAGTCATTCTATATTAATTTTAAAGGATTTGATTTAATGGAGTAATTAATTAAATAGTGTATATTATGAAAGGTAATCGAGGCCTAGCTTGTGCATGTAATGGTTTTGCCATGAAAAGATCATCTTTCGACTTAGATAGATCAATCTTATCCTCTGTAAGTAGCACAATCCATGTAAAACCTTAAATAAGCCTGGCCAACAACATCCTAATCATGGTAGAGCCAAGTGCTATACCCATGCACCCACACCTTTTGGTACTAAATGAGATCATTGTTAAACTTGGCTCAGTGATCTCAACTCACCCTTTCTATCCTTCTTGTGTCGCATGGGATTGAACTTCAATGGTTCATTCCAAACCCTAGGGTTGTACCCGAGTCCTAATCAGCTTAACAACATGTGGCTACCTTTAGGGATAAAGTAGCTTGCAACAATGGCACCAGAGGTTGCAACATGAGGCATATTGAACGGCGCAACAGGGTGAAGTCGAAAAGCTTCTTTAGCACAAGCCTTTACATAATTAAGTTGAGTAATATCAGATTCTTGAAGTAATCTGTTATTTCCAACCACGCAATCTATTTCTTTGATCACCTTTTCGAGAAGTTTAGGCTAGTTTATCATCTCTGCCTTTGAAGTATTATCTGTTGATGCAATAAATAGATCCCACATGCATACATATACATATATGTAAATCAAATCAAGTATTTTAATTAATTAGGTTATGTTATTAATAAAAGTTATTCCAATTAAGGTTAATGTTATACCGTGTATAGGGCTTTGATCTCCTATACTGTAAGTGCAGGATGCCCATTTGCATCCTTGGCCAAAATACGGGCATCAAGCAAATCCTCTGCCTTGTTTTTCTTCCCTTGTCTCCATTGTTGCACCTTTTCATCCACCATTGGATCAAGATATTTATTTATTGTTCTCAAGGCCTCCCTTATAATCTTCTCATGCCCTTCTAAATCCAAAATTCTTATGAAAGGAATATAATACGACAAAGCAAATGTGAAATGATGCATGAGCACAATAAAGACTTAATTATGAAATTGTTGATTAAATTAAGTTAACTAACTTACTACTTCTTTTTGTAGGTTGATGAGTTTGGAACTTAGCTTCCTTTATTTTGATGTAAGTATAGATATTTTATTAAGTATGTGCTATATACATTTTCCCTGTTTAAATTTCATGATCTAACTAATGAAGAGTAAACTTTTCATTTGTGTAGATGGATGACTCAAAGTAGATTTTTCTTCAAACTTTTCATGACTTTTGGTGTCTTCCATTGTTTTGGGGTGTATATTGCCTTGATGTGGCAGAACCCCAAATATGCCCCTCAAATAAGAGGATAGGGATAAATTCACCCTTCCAATAAAAGTAGGGTTAAATTGTCTCTCCAAATTCTTAATTAAGACAAATAACTTAATATTTAACATATAATGTACGTCCTCATATGTCAAAAATTTGTTTGCCACCTAATCATGTTTTTAACAGAAAACTAATGTATGATGACATCACATGTTAAATAACATGTTAAATAATGTATAATTTGTCTTAATTGACAATTTGAAAAGCTAATTTATCCTTTCTTTTTTTTGAAGAGCGAATCTATCCTTGCACTCCTATTTGGGAAGTAGATTTGGGGGTTTTGCATATTGATGTTTGTGAAATTCAAAGGTTATAAATTTTGATTGAATGTATTTAAGGTACTAGTTATTAGTCAACATACAGCTCTTAGCCGCCCCCTTTTCTCAATTTGGTTTTTCCCTCTTTCTTTTGGTTTCTTCCTTCCCCTGGCTACTACTACCTCTCTCCCCCTTGGCAATTGAGGTAGATGATTAAAGGTAGAAGTTTTTTTTTTCTTTTGTGGGTGTTTTTTCCTCTTTGATGGAGGTTTCTCCCTCTTTTTGGAGGATTTTTGCCTTGGCTTTCTAAAAACTTTTTATCAAGATTCGTTTTTGTGAAAAGAGGATGGCAACTTGAATGCAATATTGGTTAAGCTCAGATTTTGAATGTCAAAGGTATGGTTGGAGACAGTGTCCTTAGCTAAATTTTCTATGCCAATCAATTTATCTTTTGTCTAGATAAATTATATTAGAATATAGCTGAACTCTTAAATTCAAGTTTAGATTTAATTGTGATATTCATGTAGGCATAAATTATTTAATTTTGTATTTTTACACATTTTATGAGTATAATATGTCTGACATACCATCTTATTTAAGTTTTTTTTTTTTTTGATAAGGGCAATGGTTAGTAGATTAGTATTGTTAGATGTTAACAACTAAGGATTCGATCTCTAGATTTGGTGAATAATCCACCGACTTCAATGAGACGCTCGGCCATCAAGTCGCTTGGTGAAGTTCTTATTTAAGTTGATTCTATAACACCCTTATAATTTTCATATACTAATGAAGTTTTATTTCTTATAAAAAAATATTAGTTATTAGTATTAGTATAATATATTAGTCAAATTAGAAATGTTGATTTCCTTTAGAGGAGGATATTTAATTTATATATTCATATTTTTTTATTAATTTTTATAGTTAATCTTTAACTCTTTTATTATTTCTGTTAGGAATTATGATTCGAAATGATTTCATTCAGAACTCGTGGTTTGTGATTTTTTTTTTTTTTTTTTTTTTTGCTTTTCACTTGATGACTTGATTATTCTAAACAAAAGAAAATTGATTATTCTTCCTTGCTTTTATTAATCAAAAAATATCTTATAAAATCAATGTTGAGAAAAGCTAGTCATGGCATTAAAAAAGAAAAAAAAAAGGAGGTTACCCTACTTCGGGTTGTTGAGGGTTAAGAGAAGTAGAGAGTGTCATAACCCAACTTTCCTTACTTCGCTTTACTAATTTTGCTCTGATTATATGTTTTAGAATTTATTTGCAAAAAATAAAAATGTTTTGGGAGAAGTCGAAGAAAAAAAGAATTGTTTTTTTTTTTAAAAAAAAAAAAGGAAACAGGATGCAGATTCGGCCCAAGCTCAATTCCAAATTTAAATTTGTACAGCTTTGACCCACTAAACATTGAGCCCACATAAAAAATACAATACAACCCAAATCCATGTGCCTAGTTGGCACCCAAATTAAAAGCCTAATAATTCGTAAAACACGAAGGTGGTGAGGTCTTCTTCATATTTTTCCACAGCCGTCCCCTCACCCTCATTTCCTCTCCGCTGTCCAAGCACCACAGGAACGATTCTCATCATCTCACCACCATCACCTCTTACATCACCGATCTCAGCCCTCTGGGCCATTTTTTTTTTTTATCCACATTGCACAACCCTTCAGCCACAGATCATTTTCTCCGCCTTACAGCAGCCTGACAGACAGACTCTGGGTATCCTCCTCTCCCTTCTCAATAGCTGGCCCTCTCGGTTTTCCGTCATCTCTGCTGCACCGTCTCCTATTAGGTATACATTCGAACAGAGGAATCTTAGGTAGCGGTGAGGAGGAAAGATCCGGGGCGGTGGTTGGGTACCCCGGATCGCCCTCAGTTCGGTCACCCAAATCTCCGCCATTTATTTTCTCTGAAAATATATGTTTTTTTTTTCTACGTTTTTGTAAATGATGATGTTAATGAAAGTATTTTGGAGATGTTTTTTTCTCATTATTGTTTGGTTGTTTGCTGCGCGTGAAATCTGCCTGCGATCTGTTTTTTGCTTCCGTTTGATTTATTTTTCTGTTGGAGCTTGATCGAAACAAAACAGTGAAAATCTTTAGTCCCTATTTGGATTGGGAAATTTGGAGAGGAAGGAGAGGAGAGTGTGGGGCTGATGTCTGCCTGGCTTTGTTTGTTTTTCATGGAGATAGAGGGGTGAGGGACCACAGTCGAGGTGGTGGAGGGATTGTTACTTGTTAGGGATTTAGGTTATACATTTAATTTTTTTAGTTATTTTAAAAAATAAATACATAAAAATATTTTATTTTAATTATTTTTAATTATATAAATTCTAAATATTTTTTTTTGTTTTTATTAAATTATTTAGTTAAATAAAAATAAAATTTTTTACCTGTACTTCAACTAAAAAGTAAAAATACAATTAATATATTTTTTATAATTAATTTTCATTAAAATTGTAAATATTAGTTTTAATTTAATTAAATTTATTTATGTATCAATAATATTAAAGTTTATGTTAATTTTTATAATTTTTTATATAAATTAATTTCAAAAAATTTATATTTTATATTTTTTATATAAATCCATAAAAATATTATCCTTCCTTTTCTTTTACTTTCAATCATCCTCTTCTACTTTCATATATCCAAATAAAAATAACATTAAATATTTTCTTTTCCTTCATCTCCTCCCCCTTCCCTTCCTTAATTTTTATCCAAACAAAAAAATCCCAATTTCGAGCAATTTTGATCCGTTTTGATCTGATTTCGTAAATGGGCTAAGTTTGTGGGTTAAACCAACCCGATGGGTATACCCAGGCTGTGAACCGGACCTAAAAGCAAAAGGAAGAGAGTTAGGCGAAGGCCCGATAAAAAAAATGTTAAAGCTTTCGCGCCATAAAATAAATAAAACATAAATGAAAGAAGAAAAAAAAAAAAGAAAATATTTATAAAATTTTTCAAGGTTAACAAATTTTCTTATTCTCTGTAATTTTAATTTTGCTTACATCGTTACGAGATCAATCAATTTGATCCAGAGTTTCAAGTTTCTTTAACCTTTGGTCTTAAGGGTTTTAAATCTATCCAAATCAGTCAATTTAATTTGTTGCAATTAGGTATGTGTGTTTTTTTATTTTGTTCAATCAAGTCTAAAAAGTTTCAAAAGTTCCAATATTGTCCATCTATTTCCAAATCACTTGATTATGGCAAAAATAAATAAATAAGTTGAACAAATTTCCAATTTTAAAGTATGCAATTATAGAGGATTGTAGGTGTGAGATGTGAGTATGCTCTTTTTCCCTCCTAATTGTACCCCTAGATCCCAATCTCTCTGCAAATCATGTTTAAGTGACCTGTCCAACTTGATAATTTAGACAAGTAGTGACTCTTTATTTTCATATTTTTACACCTAATTTTTAAATTTTTAAATTTTTAAAATTTTAAGTGGTCATCAACAAAGAGTGGTAACTTTGGAAAGGAAATATTGTTTCTAGAATCAAGGATAAAAATGTTACTTCACACTTTTAGGTGTGCCGTTATGGAATTAGGATGGCAATAATGCCACCCTTTAAAAGGCAATCAACTCTTTTTATATGTTAGGTTTTCTTGTGTTAGGCAATTGTTTTTTATAATTCTTTCATATAATATTTTTATGGTTTATTATATGGTAACTTCAGCTAGAAAATTTCCTTCCACTCAATTACAATAGTGATAAAATTCCACCTTGTAACTCCTACCACCCACTTAGCCTATATAAGGCTTGTAACCTTATATGGATACAAAAAATGGGGAAGAAAAGAGTAGAAATAGCACATTTCCTTATATAGCCTCTCTATGGCTATGTTTTGGATTGATATGAACTACGATAATTATAGTTACGGCTATGGCTTTTCCAATTTTCTACTATGAGAAAATTATACTATTGTTAGATAACTCTTTTAAAAAGAGTCTTATATATTAATATGATTATTGAATTATATAAATTATTAATTAAAATTAATTTATTCAAAATAAATGAATATTTTTATGAGGTGCTATATGAAAAAATATTGTGGAAAAGTAACCCCAAACACAATCTTTATCTCTCTAATTTCTTTTTCTACTTATTTCTTTCTTATTTTACAACACCCTATCAATACGAAATGTCTTTTCAAGGATCCTCTTTGAGGTAATGGATCAATTAAGGTAAATATTTAAGTTGTGGTAAATTTTTTAGTAACATTTCAAAAAGATTAAAATTTTTTATATTTTATTTAAAATTAATATAATTTTTTCTTTATTAAAAATAAAATTAGTATATGATTACATTATTATAATTTATTTATTTATTTATTATTATTACATAATTAATAATTTTAATAATAAAAATATAAAAAATATATAATTATTTTTAAGCATGTGCTTATCCATCATTTAATTTAAAATAACAATCACTAACTATCGTATAACCAAACAATTATATTTATTAAATCTGCTATTTATTAATCACTATCTACTTTTCACTATTCACCATCCACTGTCCGTTAATCACCACCTGTTATCCACTACTACTATCTACTATTTGTTATTTATTGAATTTTAACTGTTATACAAAACAAACTCTTAGTCTCCGTAGTTAGTTGCAAACTGAATTGCTATTGTTATATATATGTAACTGTTTCCTATTGTAATAGAATCACTGCTTCTGCAATAAACTGACCTTAATAACCTATTAATGGAGAGACACAAAATCTAAGACTTGAAAAAAAGGCAGTTTTCAAACAAAGACTGTGTCTGTACATTCTAATGGACAATTGAGTATCTTTTCCTTCTCCAGACTCATCTTCACCAATTCAGATAAAAAAAACAACTCAAATGCGTATATATAGTAACAAAAATATATTGTGCAATTTGAAGTGCAATGGATTATCAAAATTAAATAACTCAAACTATTAGATGAAGGTGGGCTCTTTATTATTGGAGCTGTGGCCCATCCATCGGTTCTTGTAAGGTCCAAACAATGAACTCATATGGTAATTTTTACTACGGAAAAATTCTGTATAGTGAGATAGTATCCTAAGATTATTCAATTTTCCCTTTATGAACGGTGGCAGACACCTTTCTTCTTTTAATTTTAATCTCTGTTTCAAACAAGTCCTGTCAACAAGATGCTTTCTCTTTCCTCCTCATCAATATGAATCTAATTTTTAAAGCATTTGAACTAGAGACCTCGTAATGATAGCCGTCGGTCATTAACTATATATGATCAATTACAAAACGTTAGTTATGCATCAGTTCAGATAGAGGCCGGCCAGCAACTGTTAACTATTAGTTTAGCTAAACCCGACAAAACCTTTGTCATAATGGCAAATTAAGTTGATAATAATTAAATCAGACCCACAATCAGCTCCAATTTTGCCAGCTAGTATGATCGAACAAAATGTTGAACTTTTTTTTCATTTTTTGTGTGTGATTGTCTCTCTGAGAGCAAATTAAGGGGGTTGAAAAGTAGATCAGTCCTTTTCATGCCTTGGACCATCCATGCAAAGCTTCTTTACCGACAACCTAACAACCTCTAGAGAATTGATTTCTTTATAGCTTTTAAATGCAAATTCATTCCGAATCCAACTCAACAAATTGCTTTTACAACTTTAAGATTCCTAACTTTGTGCACAAGCTATTCTCATCTACCTTGTCTGTCACACCCACCATTGCTAAAGCATTTCATTTCATAATGTCTTGCTCTCCCTTTCGAGCTTTTTAGAAGTTGATGATTAATTACATCTCCTATTAGGGAAAATGCTATATAAATGTATCTTGGGGTTTGGTTGAGAATATTTCAAATCTAAAAGAGCCTTTGATATATACCACCAAGAACTCAAAAAACTTAAGGAAATTATTAAACGTACTTTTCAGTTCAACACATCCATCAACACCCACCTATTCAACTATTAAAATTTAAAATTTTAAGTTTTTTCATCTTTAATTTTGATTTAAATAATAATTTTTTAATGAATGTG